TTAGATATAATAATTTCAGTACTCACCATAATTGTGTAGGCCACTCTACTCATCTAGTAACAACTGAAACTGTGGAAGCTAAGGAACTCAAAAAGCAATTCTAATATTAAATGCTTTCCAGCAATTTAGTCTTTAATAAATACTCCTCAGCCTCATTTAAAAAAAATAAACAAAACTAAAAAACCGCAACATCACACCTGGAGTACAAAATGACATCTCAGAACTATCACGTGACTAAAGTTGAAATCCAAGAATCCCATTTAAAAATCTATCAAATCAAGTCAAAAATAACTATTACCTTTAATTTAGCAAAAAGTCTTTTTTTCTTTCTTTCTTTCTTTTGCTATACCAAAGTAATACACTTATTTACAGCAGCTCAAATTAAGTTATAGGTCACAATCTACTCACCTTGACAAAACTCATTCGAATGATGCACATTTTGGTGAGCTCGTACACTGCCTCATATCCATGGTTGACAGAGTCAAACAAAAGCTGCGCAAATTCCTGATTGTCAAAAATTTTGAGGCTGCAGCTGCTGGGAATCTTACAGACAGCAGTGCGATGAAAGCCATGATGGAGGTTGCAGTTCTGACTCTGTACAAATATGCTGCTGTCACTGAGGCATTCTGCATATACCTCTCCGCCAACATAGTACAGGTGAACACCTTAAAAAGGCAGGTATAATGAAGCTCAGCGTAACAAAGCATTATACTGAAATCAGAGAATGCATGAGAAGCCACCTACAATATCCATGATAGCCACAGGAACTGCCAACAGTCTTTAGATAGAAGCTACCACTAGATGACCTTCTGGCCAAGTATAATCAAAAGTCAGTATCCACATAAATACAAAATGGTTCTCAGATAACTAAGGGGCACTTCGAGTTGGCAGTGTATTTATTAGGTCATCAGTTCTTAGGTCTTTTTTCCAACAATTATATTTGTCATCTCTGTATGAAAGCAACATGAAACAATATGAAAGAAAGTAATGTCAAAAAAATTTTTAAGTGCTTTATATACAGTAAGTCTTTTTCCAAAGGAATGTTTGGTGCCATCAACTGGTATATCACTGAGAGCTGTTTAGCACAGAATTTCACACTCTCTTTAC